CTTTAATCCCAGCACTTGGGAGGCAGAGGCAGGTGGATCTCTGAGTTCGGAGCTACAGAGCAAGTTCCAGAACAGTCTGGGCTACACAAAGAAACTCTGTCTCAAGAACCAAAAACAAAGTGAGAACATGGGGGGGGGGGGTTGGAAGCTACGAGAGTGAGAAGGGAAGAAAAGGAAGGATGCAGAGGTCATGAAAAGCAGAAATTTTGAGTCAGGAGTGGAGGAGAAGAAAGGACATATGATAGGTAGGATTTTAGTTGGGGGGGGTGGTAGAGGAGGAAGGGAGGGAGAAGGGAACTGGGATCGTCATGAAATTCAATCTTGTTTGTAATTCAAATATATAAAAAACAAAAAACAAAAACAAAACAAAACAAAAGAACCAAAAACAGGGGAGGAGGAAACAGCAGTGGCAGCTGCAGCTGGAACAAGGCAAGATCATGTACTCTGTCTTTCATTCAGCACAGGTAAATATGCCAACTAAACACACTAAGCAAAGGCCAGGGGCTAGAGATAGGAGGTCAATTACAGCATCGTCAGAAATGAAAGTGAACAGCAGGGATGTCTGCTGGCCATAAAACATGAGGCTTAAGGACCGAAAGAGGCAGACAGATCACTACACTACATTGCTCAGGAGGTTTTTAGAGCTCAGGTCCAGCCAGCCCCGCAGGAGTGAAGCACAGCTATGAAGACCTCCAGGCTGCCTGTGTGCCCCCCCTTCCAGGAAGGGGTCATGGGTCAGTGGGGTCAGGAAGGGCATGTGACACCCAACAATGAAAGTCAGCACCGAGTCTTAAAAACAAACAGCCATAACTGACTATACTTGACTACCGTTCCTCTTCAGGTGACAATGATGACTTTACTTTTTTTTTTTTCCCAAGGCAGGAAGAGATGTCATTTCTCCATCAAATACAGCCACACCCTCCTCTTGCAGGCTCACTAGGGCTTTCAGGTCGCCTTCCAAGGCGTGGGGGTGAGGCCGATGCTGGCAGGTGCACCCCCCCATCACCAAGGGGAGGCTCCGCTGAAGTCAACTGATGATTCAGGGATTGCTGTGTCCCCTTCACACTCCATTACCCGTAATTAGAGAAACGGGTCTGGATAATGGATAATTTACTTCAACTGTGTGTTTGCTTAACCAAGATTACACAAGGAAATCCTGCAAGTTTCTATAGCCATGTTAAGATAGCACCGCAATGCTCCACAGATCAAATCCCACCCACTGTAAGTTAGTTTACACAAGACAGTTCTACAGTGTAGCGTGTGCCTCGAGTGCAGCAAGGTTCTCTTCCTTGTGCCCGAATTCCTTGAAAAGGTCTACTTTATTACCTGCCTGCTTGGGTGCACTGGGGGCTAACTGGAAGCAGGGAGGAGGTGCGGATAGTAGAAGGTTCTACCCAGGATTCACCTTGTCAGTGAGGGACAAGCAGAAAGCAGTGACCACTCCCTTACCCCAGATAAACATTGTGAATAATTTATCTACACCACATAGCAAGCAGGTCCATTTATGCATGACACCTGTACTGAGTAGAATAAATATTAAATTGCTAGACAGATTTAAATCTTGTTCTAGATAGCTAGAAGAATAAACTACACACACTGGAGGATGGGGTGGAGGGAAGGGAAAGGGCAAAAACACAAGTCAGTGTGCTCTGTAGGTACAGCTCTGGAAAGCGAATCCTAACTGAGGTTATTTTTAATTGTGCGATGCGTTTCAACAGACCTGGCGAGTGACACACACAGCTGCTACAAGAAGCCTTCTGTCTTCACTCTACCTGTCCTTCTGTCTTCACCAGGAGCCCATGATTAATTCACCTATCTTCCAACCCAGTTCCTGTCTCCACAGCAGCAAGACTGACTTCAATGAGTTCCCTAAGTTCCTTCTAGTTGTCTACAAACTTGGTCAAGGAAGAACTGTAGGCACATGGTACATACATACATACATACATACATACATACATACATACACACACACACACACACACACACACACACACACACACACACAGAGAGAGAGAGAGAGAGAGAGAGAGAGAGAGAGAGAGAGAGTAAAGAGGTGTTGCATACTTGCACACTTGTAATTCCAACACAAGAAGACAGAGGCAGGTGGTGGAGTGCAAAGCCAGTGGGGGATACCCAGTGAGACCATTTTTGGGGGTGGTGGAAAAATACTCTTGCTTTTCAAATACAGAGATGAAGTTGTTACAGGTTTTTTTCCTTTGCAGAACAGTGGTGATGATTTTTAAACATAGCCATGCGTGTGTGTGTGGGGGGGGGGGGAGTCAATGGACAACTTTTGGGAGTTGGCTCTCTCCTTCCTCCTTGTTTTTGAGGCAGGGTCTCTCTTGTTTCTATGGATAGTACTGAGTTCAAACGAAGCTACTCTATAACAGAGGGACAATGCCTCTCCTATATACCACAAGCTATTAAAAACGCCCTGTACCAGGTATGGGGTAGCTTTTCTGAGTGGTATAGAACCCCTCAAACACCATAGGCCATTGCCAGTCTTCTTTGTTACCCCCTAGAATTAGATGGTAAGGCCCCAAAGACACCACATCCATATACACAGACAACACAGAAAAACCCTAGAAGTCAGTCTCCCTACTTGGAGAGAAAAGTAAACAACATCCATGAACCTTGAAAGCTGGCAAGATATGGCCACCAGTGAAACAGAGGGAGGGAGGTTTTAAGAGTAACCAATAGCTTTCTGATTGGACTTAAGGCTCACTACGCCACAGGACTTGGCACTGTTAACCGGACCAAAAACCCATGGCTGCCTAAGTCACAGATAAGAACCTACTACTCTTATTTTGCTAAATGGACACAGTAATAAACTGTATCCTAAATTCTTTCTTAGCACCCATGGTCCAACCCTCAAGAGATGCTTCTTTTTGCAGTGGTTGGCAATTAACACAGAGACCCACAACTGGTCAACATGCACAGAATAAGGGCCTACGGAGTGCTCAACTCTAAATGGGACACCTATACCCCAGGCCCCGCCCACAAGGTTCAGAGGTCACTGTTGAAAGAGGCAGCAGAGAGGTTGTAGAAGCAGAGATGGACATCTGCAGCAAAATGTAGTCGCCTGGCATGACAAGGCCGTCATACACATTAACTCACAGTTGTGACCACAACTCAAGACTTGCACAAGATCAAGTCAGCCAAAATTCCAGAATGGAAGGGTTCATGACGCTCCACTCCTACCTGAGGAGCTGTTGGCAATGAGAGTTTTCTTCAGGAATGTGATCCTGGAGAGAGTACACATGCTCTGCTTAGTAGGTGATCCTACACCCATGTCCACACAGGCAGCACTAGGTGCATTCAGTGGGCTTAACTGACCACATGAAGTTGGAAAGGGAAGTGGTGGGCAGAATGGGTGGTGAATTTGATCAAAACACATCACATGCATTATGGAATTCTCAAAACTAAATTTAAGCCAGGCATTGGTGGTGCTCGCCTTTAATCGCAACACTTGGGAGGCAGAGGCAGGTGGATCTCTGTGAGTTCAAGACCAGCCTGGTCTACAAGAGCTAGTTCCAGGACAGCCTCCAAAGCCACAGAGAAACCGTCTTGAAAAAATAAATAAATATCTACAAGAGCTAGTTCCAGGACAGTCTCCAAAGCCACAGAGAAACCATCTTGAAAAAATAAATAAATAAATAAATAAATAAACAAACTAAATTTAAAAAAGCAAATACCCTTTAGCCAATACAATTCACAATTTTCACCTTCAAAGCTTTAATTTCTGAACTTAAGGCTAAATCGTCCTTGTAACAAAGCAAAAACAAACCAAACCAAAAAAACCAATAACCCTAATGTTAGAATAAAGCGTCTTTAGTCCCAGCACTTGAGAAGCAGAGACACTAGATTTTTTGAGTTCAAGGACAGCCTGGTGAGTTCTAGGCCAGGGACTAGCTTCTGGTCAGGATTTTCCAGTGAAACACTGTCTCAAAAAC